CAAGTCTGATACAGTCATGATATAACAATATAGTATTCAAGTTGTTAACAGCTTGTAACAAGCTTGTTTGTTCCAACAAGTCTGATACAATCATGATATAACAATATTGTACAAGTTGTTTAAACAGCTTGTATCAAGCTTGTTGATGTTATCAGACTTGTTGCAAGATTGCTCCAACAAGTCTGACACAGTCATGATATAACAATATTGTATACAAGTTGTTAACAGCTTGTAACAAACTTGTTGATATTATCAGACTTGTAGCAAGGTTGTTCCAACAAGTCTGATACAGTCATGATATAACAATCAAGCTTGTTGATATTATCAGACTTGTAGCAAGGTTGTTCTAACAAGTCTGATACAGTCATGATATAACAATATTGTATTCAAGTTGTTAACTGCTTGTAACAAGCTTGTTGATATTATCAGACTTGTAGCAAGGTTGTTCCAACAAGTCTGATGCAGTCATGATATAACAATATTGTATTCAAGTTGCTAACAGCTTGTAACAAGCTTGTTGATATTATCAGACTTGTAGCAAGGTTGTTCTAACAAGTCTGATACAGTCATGATATAACAATATTGTATTCAAGTTCTTAACAGCTTGTAACAAGCTTGTTGATATTATCAGACTTGTAGCAAGGTTGCTCGAACAAGTCTGATACAGTCATGGTATAACAATATTGTATTCAAGTTGTTAACAGCTTGTAACAAGCTTGTTGATATTATCATCAGACTTGTAGCAAGGTTGTTCTAACAAGTCTGATACAGTCATGATATAACAATATTGTATTCAAGTTGTTAACAACTTGGAACAAGCTTGTTGATATTATCAGACTTGTAGCAAGGTTGTTCTAACAAGTCTGATACAGTCATGATATAACAATATTGTATTCAAGTTGTTAACAGCTTGTAACAAGCTTGTTGATATTATCAGACTTGTAGCAAGGTTGTACCAACAAGTCTGATACAGTCATGATATAACAATATTGTATTCAAGTTGTTGATATTATCAGACTTGTAGCAAGGTTGTTCCAACAAGTTTGATACAGTCATGATATAACAATATTGTATTCAAGTTGGTAACAGCTTGTAACAAGCTTGTTGATATTATCAGACTTGTAGCAAGGTTGTTCCAACAAGTCTGATACAGTCATGATATAACAATATTGTACAAGTTGTCTAAACAGCCCGCAACAAGCCTGTTGATATTATCAGACTTGTTACAAGGTTGTTGTAACAAGTCTGATACAGTCATCATATAACAATATTGTACAAGTTGTGTAAACAGCTTGCAACAAGCTTGTTGATATTATGAGACTTGTAGCAAGGTTGTTCCAACAAGTCCGATACAGTCATGATATAACAATATTGTACAAGTTGTTTAAACAGATTGCAACAAGCTTGTTGATATTATCAGACTTGTTACAAGGTTGTTCTAACAAGTCTGGTAGAGTCATGATTTAACAGGAATGTTACAAGGTTGAGGACACAAGGTTGTAACAATATTATTATATCATGACTGTATCGGACTTGTTGGAACAACCTTGCTACAAGTCTGATAATATCAACAAGCTTGTTACAAGCTGTTAACAACATGTAACAAGTTTGATGGCATTATCAGACTTGTTAGAAGGTTGTTCTAACAAGTCTGATACAGATCACGTATAAGAAGAATGTTACAAGGTTGATGACACAAGGTTGTAACAATGTTGTTATATCAGGACTGTATCGGACTTGTTGGAACAATTAACCTTTCTACAAGTCTGATAATATCAACAAGCTTGTTACATGCTGTTAACAACTTGTACAATATTGTTATATCATGACTGTATCAGACTTGTTGGAACAACCTTGGAACAAGTCTGATAGTATCAAAAAGCTGTTAACAACTTGTAACGAGCTTCGGATGGCATTGTCAGACTTGTTACAAGGTTGTTCTGACAAGTCTGATAGAGTCATGATATCACAAGAATTTTTTCAAGACGACATAAAGTTGTAACATTGTTGGTATATCATTACTGTATCGAAGTTGTTTGATCAGACTTGTAACAAGTCTGATACAGTAATGATATAACAAGAATGTTTCAAGGTTGACGACAAAAGGGCGTAACAGTATTGTTATACCATGACGGTATCGGACTTGTTAGAACAACCTTGCTACAAGTCTGATAATATCAACAAGGTTGTTACAGGCTGTTTAAACAACTTGTACAATATTGTTATATCATGACTGTATCGAACTTGTAGGAATAACCTTGCTACAAGTCTGATAATATCAACAAGGTTGTTGCAAGCTGTTTAATCAACTTGTACAATATGCTTTTACCATGACTGTATCGGACTTGTTAGAACAACCTTGCTACAAGTCTGATAATATCAACAAGATTGTTAGAAGATGTTAACAACTTGTAAGAAGCTCGATGGCATTGTGAGACTTGTTACAAGTACAGTCATGATATAACAAGGATGGTACAAGATTGACGACACAAGGTTGTAACAATATTGTTATACCATGACTGCATCGGACTTGTTGGAACAACCTTGCAACAAGTGTGATAATATCAACAAGCTTGTTACAAGTTGTTAACAACTTGTATCAAGTTTGATGGCATTATCACACTTGCTACAAGGTTGTTCTAACAAGTCTGATACAGTCATGATAAAACAGGAATGTTGCAAGGTTGATGACAGAAGGTTGTAACAATATTGTTATATCATGACTGTATTGGACTTGTTGGAACAACGTTACCACATCTGATAATATCAACATGCTTGTTACAAGCTGTTAACAACTTGTACAATATTGTTATATCATGATTGTATCAGACTTGTTGGAACAATCTTGCTACAAGTCTGATAATATCAACAAGCTTGTTACAAGCTGTTTAATCAACTTGTACAATATTGTTATATCATGACTGTTTCAGACTTGTTGGAAGAACCTTGCTACAAGTCTGATAATATCAACAAGCTTGTTATAAGCTGTTAACAACTTGTACAATATTGTTATATCATGACTGTATCAGACTTGTTAGAACAACCTTGCTACAAGTCTGATAATATCAACAAGCTTGTTACAAGCTGTTTAATCAACTTGTACAATATTGTTATATCATGACCGTATCGGACTTGTTAGAACAACCTTGCTACAAGTCTGATAATATCAACAAGCTTGTTACAAGCTGTTTAAACAACTTGTACAATATTGTTATATCATGACTGTATCGGACTTGTTAGAACAACCTTGCTACAAGTCTGATAATATCAACAAGCTTGTTACAAGCAGTTTAATCAACTTGTACAATATTGTTATATCATGACTGTTTCAGACTTGTTGGAACAATCTTGCTACAAGTCTGATAATGTGAACAAGCTTGTTATAAGCTGTTAACAACTTGTACAATATTGTTATATCCTGACTGTATCAGACTTGTTGGAACAACCTTGCTACAAGTCTGATAATATCAACAAGCTTGTTATAAGCTGTTAACAACTTGTACAATATTGTTATATCATGACTGTATCAGACTTGTTCGAACAACCTTGCTACAAGTCTGATAATATCAACAAGCTTGTTACAAGCTGTTTAATCAACTTGTACAATATTATTATATCATGACTGTATCGGACATGTTGGAACAACCTTGCTACAAGTCTGATAATATCAACAAGCTTGTTACAAGCAGTTTAAACAACTTGTACAATATTGTTATATCATGACTGTATCAGACTTGTTGGAACAACCTTGCTACAAGTCTGATAATATCAACAAGCTTGTTACAAACTGTTTAAACAACTTGTAGAATATTGTTATATCATGACTGTATCAGACTTGTTGGAACAACCTTGCTACAAGTCTGATAATATCAACAAGTTTGTTACAAGCTGTTAACAACTTGTATACAATATTGTTATATCATGACTGTATCAGACTTGTTGGAACAATCTTGCTACAAGTCTGATAATATCAACAAGCTTGTTACAAGCTATTTAATCAACTTGTACAATATTGTTATATCATGACTGTATCAGACTTGTTGGAACAACCTTGCTACAAGTCTGATAATATCAACAACCTTGTTACAAGCTGTTTAATCAACTTGTCCAATATTGTTATGGCATGAATGCATCAGACTTGTTGGAACAATCTTCGTACAAATCTGATAACATTAACAAGCTTGTTACAAGCTGTTTAAACAACTTGTTCAATATTGTTATATCATGACTGTATCAGACTTGTTGGAACAACCTTGCTACAAGTCTGATAATATCAACAAGCTTGTTACAAGCTGTTAACAACTTGTATACAATATTGTTATGTCTTGACTGTATCGGACTTGTTGGAACAATCTTGCTACAAGTCTGATAATATCAACAAGCTTGTTACAAGGTGTTAACAACTTGTATACAATATTGTTATATCATGACTGTATCAGACTTGTTGGAACAATCTTGCTACAAGTCTGATAATATCGACAAGTTTGTTACAAGCTGTTAACAACTTGTATACAATATTGTTATATCATGACTGTATCAGACTTGTTGGAACAATCTTGCTACAAGTCTGATAATATCAACAAGCCTGTTACAAGCTGTTTAATCCACTTGTACAATATTCTTATATCATGACTGTATAAGACTTGTTGGAACAACCTTGCTACAAGTCTGATAATATAAACAAGCTTGTTACAAGCTGTTTAATCCACTTGTACAATATTGTTATATCATGACTGTATTAGACTTGTTGGAACAATCTTGCTACAAGTCTGATAATATTAACAAGCCTGTTACAAGCTGTTTAATCCACTTGTACAATATTCTTATATCATGACTGTATAAGACTTGTTGGAACAACCTTGCTACAAGTCTGATAATATAAACAAGCTTGTTACAAGCTGTTTAATCCACTTGTACAATATTGTTATATCATGACTGTATCGGACTTGTTGGAACAATCTTGCTACAGGTCTGATAATATCATCAAGTTTGTTACAAGCTGTTAACAACTTGTATACAATATTGTTATATCATGACTGTATCAGACTTGTTGGAACAATCTTGCTACAAGTCTGATAATATCAACAAGCTTGTTACAAGCTGTTAACAACTTGTATACAATATTGTTATATCATGACTGTATCAGTCTTGTTGGAACAATCTTGCTACAAGTCTGATAATATCAACAAGCTTGTTACAAGCTGTTTAATCCACTTGTACAATATTGTTATATCATGACTGTATTAGACTTGTTCGAACAACCTTGCTACAAGTCTGATAATATTAACAAGCTTGTTACAAGCTGTTAACAACTTGTATACAATATTGTTATATCATGACTGTATCAGACTTGTTGGAACAATCTTGCTACAAGTCTGATAATATCAACAAGCTTGTTACAAGCTGTTTAATCCACTTGTACAATATTCTTATATCATGACTGTATTAGACTTGTTGGAACAACCTTGCTACAAGTCTGATAATATTAACAAGCTTGTTACAAGCTGTTTAATCAACTTGTACAATATTGTTATATCATGACTGTATCAGACTTGTTGGAACAACCTTGCTACAAGTCTGATAATATTATCAAGCTTGTTACAAGCTGTTTAATCAACTTGTACAATATTGTTTTATCATGACTGTATCAGACTTGTTGGAACAATCTTGCTACAAGTCTGATAATATTAACAAGCTTGTTACAAGATGTTTAATCAACTTGTACAATATTGTTATATCATGACTGTATCGGACTTGTTGGAACAATCTTGCTACAAGTCTGATAATATCAACAAGCTTGTTACAAGCTGTTTAATCAACTTGTACAATATTGTTATATCATGACTGTATCGGACTTGTTGGAACAATCTTGCTACAAGTCAGATAATATCAACAAGTTGTATACAATATTGTTATATCATGACTGTATCAGACTTGTTGGAACAATCTTGCTACAAGTCTGATAATATCAACAAGCTTGTTACAAGCTTTTTAATCAACTGCTACAATATTGTTATATCATGATTGTATTAGACTTGTTCGAACAACCTTGCTACAAGTCTGATAATATTAACAAGCTTGTTACAAGCTGTTTAATCAACTTGTACAATATTGTTACATCATGACTGTATCAGACTTGTTGGAACAATCTTGCTACAAGTCTGATAATATCAACAAGCTTGTTACAAGCTGTTAACAACTTGTATACAATATTGTTATATCATGACTGTATCAGACTTGTTGGAACAATCTTGCTACAAGTCTGATAATATCAACAAGCTTGTTACAAGCTGTTTAATCAAGTTGTACAATATTGTTATATCATGACTGTATGAGACTTGTTCTAGCAACCTTGGTACAAGTCTGATAATATCAACAAGCAAGCTTGTTACAAACTGTTTAATCAACGTGTACAATATTGTTATATCATGACTGTATCAGACTTGTTGGAACAACCTTGCTACAAGTCTGATAATATTAACAAGCTTGTTACCAACTGTTTAATCAACTTGTACAATATTGTTATATCATGACTGTGTCGGACTTGTTGGAACAACCTTGCTACAAGTCTGATAATATCAACAAGCTTCTTACAAGCTGTTTAATCAACTTGTACAATATTGTTTTATGATGACTGTATCAGACTTGTTGGAACAATCTTGCTACAAGCTTGATAATATCAACAAGCTTTTTACAAGCTGTTAACAACTTGTATACAATATTGTTATATCATGACTGTATCAGACTTGTTGGAACAATCTTGCTACAAGTCTGAAAATATCAACAAGCTTGTTACAAGCTGTTTAAACAACTTGTTCAATATTGTTATATCATGACTGTATCAGACTTGTTGGAAAAACCTTGCTACAAGTCTGATAATATCAACAAGCTTGTTACAAGCTGTTAACAACTTGTATACAATATTGTTATGTCTTGACTGTATCGGACTTGTTGGAACAATCTTGCTACAAGTCTGATAATATCAACAAGCTTGTTACAAGGTGTTAACAACTTGTATACAATATTGTTATATCATGACTGTATCAGACTTGTTGGAACAATCTTGCTACACGTCTGGTAATATCAACAAGCTTGTTACAAGCTGTTAAAAACTTGTATACAATATTGTTATATAATGACTGTATCAGAGTTGTTGGAACAATCTTGCTACAAGTCTGATAATATCAACAAGCTTGTTACAAGCTGTTTAATCAACTTGTACAATATTGTTATATCATGACTGTATCAGACTTGTTCTAGCAACCTTGGTACATGTCTGATAATATCAACAAGCTTGTTACAAACTGTTTAACCAACGTGTACAATATTGTTATATCATGACTGTATCAGACTTGTTGGACAACCTTGCTACAAGTCTGATAATATTAACAAGCTTGTTACAAGCTGGTTAATCGACTTGTACAATATTGTTATATCATGACTGTATCGGACTTGTTGGAACAATCTTGCTACAAGTCTGATAATATCAACAAGCTTGTTACAAGCTGTTAACAACTTGAATACAATATTTTTATATCATGACTGTATCGGACTTGTTGGAACAACCTTGCTACAAGTCTGATAATATCAACAAGCTTGTTACAAGCTGTTAACAACTTGTATACAATATTGTTATATCATGACTGTAACGGACTTGTCGGAACAA